TCTCCTCTCTCCTCTCCTCTCCTCTCTCTCTCTCCTCTCTCTCTACTCCTCTCCTCTCCTCTCCTCTCCTCTCCTCTCCTCTCCTCTCCTCTCCTCTCTCCTCTCCTCTCTCTCTCTCCTCTCTCTCCTCTCCTCTCCTCTCCTCTCTCCTCTCCCTTCCTCTCCTCTCCTCTCCTCTCAGGAAGATAATTTTTGCATTGTTTCTTTTTTTCAACAGATGGGTGATCGTCATTTTCTTCCTTTTACCAGCATCCTTTTTCTATGACATCTACTACTACACCCGATCATGGCTCATCTTCAAGCTCAGCTCTGCACCTCAGCAACATGACAAGAAAGTGAAAGCTGTGCAGAAACAGGTTAATCATCTTTCAAAGATAATAATAATGATAATAATAATAATATCAATAATATTTTTTTATTTAATCATAATAAATAATAATGATATCTTATATCTCTCATATGTATATTAGTATACTTTTCATGTTTACTCATCATTCACAGATAGAAGACAATAAAACTTTTGTCTCATAACAGGTACGTGAATGGTGCAAAGGAGATCAGAATGTTCACATGTGCACAGCGCGACCTGGCTGGCAGACGATCAGCTTTCGGGAGGGAGCGTATAAAAAGACATTCCACAAAGTTGCCATTAATATGGTCGACATACTAGAGATTGATACAGATAAAAAGGTTAGTTATCATAGCTGATAAGCTTATTTGTTATAATAAAAAAAATTGTATATTCAAAGTATAATGAAAATGTAGAATTTAAAAGTAGTTGTCTAATTCAGGGGCATATGAAAAAAATTGCATTTGGATAATATAAAACAAGAGTTTACAAATTGAACTCCAAATCTTCAGACTGTGCGATGTGAGCCAATGGTAACCATGGGACAGTTGACCCATACTCTTGTTGAACTTGGATGGACTATTCCCGTTCTTCCAGAAATGGATGACCTGACTGTTGGTGAGTTTCAATATTCTCATTTCTTGCTTTATGCTTATCTTTGCCTTATCTTGCCTTTATATACTTGTCAGTGTTTATTTTGAATTACTTTTTAAAACATTGCAGATGAACATATATTAATATAAATATGTAAGTGTGCACAACGATGTGGAGGTCAGTTACATAATCCATGAACTGATTAACAAGGAGAAAAGCCAGCCAGTGAACTTTTGTCCTTTGCTGTTTCCATGCTCTACACTTTTGGGGAAAATATAAATCTGTGTTCCCTTCTTATGAATTCCAACTTCCCTGAATTCCAACTTCCCTATTCTTTCATTGACTCTGGATCTATCTAAACCATATTACTGAATTCATCAATTTCATATACTTTTTAGCAATCACAGGTATTGAACTTCCAGGGATTTTATATAAAATCATCTGTGTAGATATGATTAAACTGCCAAGTTATTATCTTATCAGATCTGTCTAAAGATCTACTATCAGTAGCTGTATAGAAGATAGGATCTCATTATCTAAAAATATTGTTGTCTCATTGTCTCAGGTTCAGTACATGAATGCTTTTAATCTTTAATAAGGAGTACCTAATTGGTTTCATAATACATACAGAGATTCCCTTTAACATCATATAGCAGTGGGATATGTTTGTTATACTTATACTTTCAACAAGATATTGAAACTTATTTTTTAAGGCACATATAAAATAAAAAATCTTGTTTCTAGTTTCTCAATATTCTGCAATTGATGACTGAGATGGAGTTTTCCAAATAGTTATAGCAAGGCATGCTGTAGAATAACATTTAGAGATTTCAATACTTTTGTGATTAGATAGAGATTTTTGCTTTATAAAGATACTGAACACAATAAATATTTATGATTTGTCTTGAGAATCGACTTATAGATACTAACATTTGAAAAATTCTATTTTAACAATAACTGTGCTAGGGAACATTCACAAAAGGTAATATGATAAATGTTTAATAGCCTATCAAAAGGACTGATATACTTTAAGTAGAATTAATGACATTTTTCTTTAGATGGGATAAAATATATAATTACAAAACATATTTTCCTCAGGTGGCTTGGTAATGGGGACAGGCATCGAAAGCTCTTCACACAAAATTGGACTTTTCCAGCACATGTGCGTGTCATTTGAGCTAGTTGTTGCTGACGGATCAGTTGTAACATGCTCTAAGGTTAGAGGACCTAAAGTCAATCTCATAATGAAATATATAGAAAAGCCATTCTTATCAATCCATATATACAGACATATTACACTAAAGATGATTCATGAAATGATAATAATTAAATTTTCCCTCTTTAACATGTTTATGAGTCTCCCTTTTGTATTTCAGACTGAAAATCCTGACTTATTTTACTCTGTCCCTTGGTCATATGGGACACTGGGCTTCCTTACAGCTGTGGAAATTGATATTGTCCCAGCTAAAAGGTATTTCTCATGACACAAAAATTAATCATTATCTTATTTTTAGAAAATCTATACAGCCATTATTTACCATAATTTAAATAGTTATGTATATATGAAATGTATAATTCTTTTTATCAAATACATTACATGCACTGTAGTTTTGTTAAAATTGTTACTGATATTTTATTTCTATATTTCAATAACAGATTTGTGCGTGTTGAGTACAAGCCATGTCATTCCCTGGATAACCTAGTACAGACCTTTACAGAGGAAACAAACAAGATAGATGGTAATCAGTTTGTTGAAGGTCTCATGTACTCTCTAAACTCGGGGGTTGTTATGACCTGTAATATGGCAACTTCTGCTGAACCAGGAAAGGTAAACTTTTTTTTTTATTGTATGTAAAGTAATATATATCAAGGAATTATATGATAATTCACAGTATAATTAGTAATAATTTGATGAAATCCATGTCTCTTGCAGCTCAACCCTATTGGAAAATGGTACAAGCCTTGGTTCTTCAAGCATGTTCAGACCTTCTTAGAAAAGGATTTGCAAGGAGTAGAGTACATCCCCCTTAGGGATTATTACCATCGACACACAAGATCAATCTTTTGGGAAATACAGGTCGGTTCTCTTCTATCTTCCTATCTTCCTACTGTCCTTATTTCAGTTCTTTCAATTTATAACAGATACCCATGTATTTTTTCTTGTATTTAAGAATATATGAAAATTGTCCTTTTAATTTTTGACAGATAACTATGTAATTGTTAATTTAGTGTAAGACTAATGCATAGAAAGACATCAAAATCGAAGTATTAATTAAGAATTGTAAAATCCCCCAGGATATCATTCCCTTTGGGAATAACGTAATCTTCCGTTACCTGCTTGGGTGGCTGGTGCCCCCAAAAGTGTCACTGCTCAAATTGACCCAGGGACAAACGGTCAAGGAACTGTATGAGAAAAATCATTTCATCCAGGACATGTTGGTTCCTCTTTCCACCATGAGAGATGCACTGGAAGTGTTTGAGAAAGAAGTCAAGGTATGTTGCTTATTGTTTATTACAGATTACAGTTTCAGGACAAAATTATTAGAATAAAATGGAATAGACAGATTTTAGCTCTGTTAATTCATTTATATCAGTATATTCATTTATTAATACTGAAACTGACATTTCCTTATATCATTTTATTTTTCCTTTTAACTTACATTTTTCAGATTTATCCCATTTGGCTGTGCCCTTTTAAACTACCACCCAACCCAGGCATGCTGCATCCACCAAATGATGCTGAAACTCTTTTTGTCGACATTGGCACTTATGGAGTGCCAAAAGTGAACAATTTTGAACCTGTTGCCACAACACGTCGCATTGAAGAATTTGTCAGGAAGGTTAAAGGGTTAGTTTCATTCATGTTGTTCTTCTTAGTCATTCTCTTATTTCTTATGATGCTGTATTTGTTGACTGAAGTTTTACTCTTGTAGCAAACTTCTATGCACAAAAAGGAAAGAAAGAAAAAATGCCATGAAATGCACTGCTACTCACTTTTCATTTCCATATGCTGCAAGTCATGCTAAAGTTGCTACTCACCAGGAAAACAATAATTAGATTTTAAAAAATCACTTGAAATTGAAGTTTCTCTCTATTAATTTAAAAAGACTCCTGCCTTTCAACATTAAGCCATTCATGGCATGATGGAAAAAAACCCATATCCACCATGATTTTAATTAATTAATTGTGTTTAGTTGGCTCCACAGAAGTAAGGTCACATAAGCCTACTAATTGGCTCCCAGGTGGCTGAGCACTTGCTGAGCCATCTATGTGCAAACAAAACTCACAAAACAAAACTACAGTGGATAGTACATGTACTCAGGAGCAATGAGTTGACACTCAACTTTTCTCATTATATCACTTCCCTTTATTCCTACCAACAGATTCCAAATGATGTATGCGGACTCTTACATGACTCGTGAGGAATATCGGCAGATGTTCGACCACACCCTGTATGACCAGGTGCGGAAGAGCTTAAACTGTGAGAAAGCTTTTCCTGAGGTTTATGACAAAGTTAGCAGAAAAGCTCGCATTTAAAGTGTACTGAAAATGTTCAGTGCACTAAAAAGTTTCAACAAGGAAAGTGTTTTGTAATAGAAAAATAAATAAATAAACAAGTATTTCAAGGCCAACATTACAATTAGTCTTTTTATGAAATGATATATGCGGATAAAGCACAACAAATTATCTGATATTTCATATACTTGACGATAGATTTTTTGAGGAAAAATGTATTTCTGGTTGATGTAAAATATTTATAAATATGGGAGTGATATCTGAAGAGGGTTAACCCATTCTGGTTAATTTTCAGCAAGATGTTATGTACTATATACTTTACATAGACAGAAGGGTCAAAGGTTGTATTGTAATTTCTCACGAATTAAACCGACAAGATGTTTTCTACAAGGAAGCTCATCACAGTAAAGAAAAGCCAACTACAGTTATAGTTAATATTTCAAAGACAGGCTAACTTTAAGTGTAATTGGGAAAATAATTTTGAACTCTAGTACTTTACAAAAACTTATTAATGAAATACTCTGGAAACCATTTATTACATTATCCTGCAATTTATTTTGCACTTAAAGATAAGAATTCTTTACATATAGAATGTTGTTTATTTTTCATCTCTAGGTTGAGAAAAATATGAAAATCTTTGATTACATAAAATAAACTAATGAATGTGTACAAATTTTATGCCTATATTTCAATCTCATTTCCCTTTATGATATGGTTATGAGTCTCCCTGTTGCATTTCAGACTGAAAATCCTGGCTTATTTTTACTCTGTCCCTTGGTCACATGGGACACTGGGCTTCCTTACTAGAAATTTCAATATCTCATTACCATTTTAACTCCCTAGATATACAGTTTTTGTCTTTTATGTCAGGTGTATCATTATGCTTCCTCAAAAATCCAAACAACAAGAATTTGACCATTTTTATTTCTCCTATTATAAAAGTTTTAACTCTTAAAAACACAGATAAAAATAAAAACGTACTGCATTAATAAATATTTATTTATCTTGTGTTGGATCAAATTCCTTGTACCAACTGTTAAACTCCATCACTTTCCTCCTTTGTTGATCAAAATTCTCTTTGCGTGGTTTTCGCCACAGGTTGGTCTCCAAGTCCAACATCCCTCCAACAATTTCCTGAAAAAGAATGACAATAATAATATGAAAAGCTAATACCTTCCAAAAGCAAAAATTAAAGATAAAATACTACAAAAGTTGAGTTCATGCATTCTTTCATATTAAATTGTATTGGACACTTACTTGAGCAAAGTTATGCGGGAAGTCCTGCTCATCTTCAATAACATGAGCATATCCAGGATCCATGGCAAAGTCAACAAAGAAGTATGGCAATCCCTTGGGCACTGCTGAACGTACACTGCGGTTCTTCAAGTCAACCAATTTCTTGTTTTGTGCCCACTCTGCTTCACACTCCATAATTGCTTTCTGTAAACATATTTGACTGAATGTACTCTTCTGATTGTGAAATGCAAATTTAAAAAGCTTAAATATAACTCTGGGATTATTGTCAAAATTATCTATCATTCATTAATCCCCAATAACAAAGCATGGTAATATCCTAAAAAGAAACAAAATATACATTTCCTTATGGAAATATCTTGACAAGGTAATGGCCAAAAATAGGAATATACTACACTTATAAATATTCAGTCACAGTTTTTGTGTTCCAGTAATCCTTTCAATCCATAAACTCTCTAGACAGTTCCTAATAGCTTCAGGAAAGGATGAGAAAATTACAGGTCTTAGAGTTACAATTAGTTTCAAGATACCTGAATATTACATGAACATGCACCTGCCTATTGTACTTCATCATTTTATGCAGTAGAAAAGAGGTTTTCATAATGCAGACAAATCAGCCAGATAATAGCTACAATAATAATTTTATAATCCATTTTCAAATACCATTCAAATTACTAATGGTATATCATCTATGCTCAAGAATATTCACCCCATTGCATCAACAACTGCAATACTTTCAATAGAGAAACATTAAATCTGAGCATATATTCATTATATCACAACCATTGAAGTTTATATGAGCTTTAAAATGTTTTGCTCAGATACTAAGTACTATAAAAAGAAACTTTAAAGCATTCAGGGATATAGTAAGCAATCTATGTATCACAGTGTAGGTATACTTGAAAAAAGTATTTCTTTATAATGTCTCATATTTACTTATAAAAATAAAACAAAAGATAAAAAAATATATATATTACCTTAAAGTAAATGGGAGCCATATCACCCATTTCTTTTGGCAAAGGCACACAGTTGATAACCATATGTGGATAATTTCTCAGCCGTTTCACTGTCTCAAAGAATACACAGTCTTCATCACGAGAATTAAACATTCTGACCAGAGATTTCCTGAGGTCCTGCGAAAAGAAAAGAAAATCTTTTACAGTTCATAATTGATTAAATATTCCATAAATGCATTTTAGCAACATAGTACATTATAATCGAAATAATCTTCACCCGGAAAATTATGATAATCATAATAAACATTTTAATTGTTTAATCAACCTAATAAGAGCCTCTCACCTGAATTTCACTCCAAAGGTCTTCATCAGCTTGAACAGAACAAGCAATATGGTGAATTGGCACAATCAAACAGTGACCAGGAGTCAGAGACTGGTGGGGAGGCAAACATATATATGCCTGCAAAGTAACAGAGCTTTATTAGATATACATAAATATGTTTTTGCTCTCATTTCATACTGCAAAATTACTTACTAATGAATACTGAAAATACATATAATTCATGTGGCTGCATTTATTTCTAATTATCTTATCATTACATCAACATTTTAACTTTGTACTCATAAAGCAAAATTAAACAATGTATTCTCCAACTGAAAGCAAAATACAAAAATTAATAAGGCATCTTTAGTTCTACACAAACTTGTAATCACAACTTACCTTTTTACCTAATGCAACAATCAAATGCTTTGGCATCTCCTTATTGTCAAAGCACCACTGGCAGGATTCTAACGACCTCTCAGAACGCTTGTGCTCCTGTTGAAAGAATTATGGTAGATTATTACTTGCTTCTCAATTAATACCTCACTTCACACCAAGATCAATCCCCTAATGGAAACAAGTTCTATCACTCCTTTGTGAATCTTCTTACAACACTTAACAAAAACAATTTTTAAAAATTTAGCTACTTTTATGGAGCATAATACAAACTGAATCTAATTAAATTCATATCATATCCTCGTAGGCCTCTCCAACAAGTGTCAAATATACATACATCAATGGCCTTCTGTCGATCTCTTTCAGCTTGTTTGGCAGAACTCTCCTTTTGAACAGCTTTACTCATGAACATGTCGTCCAGATCATACTCTTCATTGAGTTTCTCGGTATTCTGCATTGCTGATCGTTCAAAGAGCGAGTTCTGATCTGCAGCTGAGGTACCCTTCTCTTTCTCAAACTGTTCATCAAAAGAAAATCAAAAGCAGATATAATTCACAAACAAATTTTTATATTAAATCCTGCTTTGATTAGCTTAATATTCTATCAGCAACAAAATTATGTGATGCTGTACCATTACTTGCATTTGAAATGTGAGTGACATACCATGCGTTTGAGGTCATACTGATCGTCATCGGGGAAGTATTTTGTTCTCTGGCCATCTTTGCCATGAGTTTTCATCTTCTTTTTCCTCTTTCCATCACTTTCTTCAACTGACCCTGATACAGGCCTGCAAACACCTGAGAAAAAAATAAAGGTAACATTTATACTTACTTCTTTAATCACATAACAGTGAAAAGTCAAGCAGACAAACAGGGGTGTCATTTCATTTTTTCTTGGGAGGGAGCAAGGTTGGCAATTGAAGCGAGCACAAATAGTTCCCTTCCCCCCTGACCCCTAAATAACGCCCCTGCAGACAAATAGACAGTAATATGTGAATACTCTCTCTCTCTCTCTCTCCCTCTACCTCCCTCTTCTCCCTTCTATATGTATATCAATCAATCTCTCTCCTTTTCTCCCTCTCCCTCTCTCCCACTCACTTTTATATATCTATATATGCATATCTCTCTATATATCCATATCTCTTTCTATATGTCCCTATCTTTCTTTGTAAATCTCTACATATCACTCTACGTATATCTATATCTTCTATATATTTACATCCATCCCTCCATCTATCTATCCATCCATCCATCCATCAATCCATCCATCCATCCATCTATCAATCCATCCATCCATACTTCTACCTTCTATCTCTATGTGTATATTTCTATAAATATAAATATTCTTCTCTATATGTATATCTCTACCTGTCTATAAACATGCATATATCTGTATATATTTCTGAACAGTATGAACCTTTGGTTGCTTTTAACACAAATCAAAATAAATCAAGAAAAAGGAGAAAAACAAAATCATGAGGATGTCGAACCGCACTCACCTCTGGAATCCATCCTCGTCAAGACAACAACCTCCTCCTTTGTTTGGGCTTCATTGTCTTCCCTGCTTCCAGGTGGAGCATTGGCCCTAACTGCACGAGCTACTTCAAGCTTCTTTTTGAGTTTTACTGCTTGTGCCTGAGATGAGAGAAATGCGCATATTAATGTACTTTCATAAGAGTGAATAGCCTGTAAAAAAAAAAATATATATATATATATATTTTTTTTTTTTTTTTTTTCTTGAAAACAAATACTATGACAACAAGGAAATTCAACAGAAATTTCTTAAATATCAAGATCTTCAACCATATATTTTTTTTCACACGAATTTCTTCCAAAAGTGAATTCTAAATTCTGGATAAACTTGCCTCATTCCCTATAAGTTCTGCCTTCATAATCTTTGCTGCTAACTCATTCATTTCCTTGTCTGTCAACAATCTTGCTTGAGGGGCTGGTCCTTCAGTGACAGTTTCTACTACTCGTTCTTTTTCTTGTATATTTTCAACTTTTTGTGGGGGTTCCTGGAAAGTAAAAATCACTTGCCTTTATATTTACATTTATTCACTTTCCTTCTTTGAATTCAAACCTTTGGTTCATTGGCAAGCTGAAATGAAGTTGCTGACCCATTTTCTTTCCAACTACAATATAACCTTAATTTCCAAAAAAGACAATATCTCTGATCATTAACTATATAGTTGATTTTCATTAAAATATCTAAATATCTCCTTTTGTTATCATAGAGAGTCCCTAATGGTATAATGCCAAGTTAACCCATAACCAATGGGTAGCATGTAAGTACATGCCATGGCATCATATCATGCCCATTCCTGCGCCACTGGCTCATCGGGCGGAGTTTGTTTTTCTCCGATATAGTAGTGGCTTCATTTATATGGTAAAGATTTTAGGCAATGGCACATATTATGTGAAGGTAAACCTTGAAAATTAAAATATTCCTATAAATCATAGCAAAATAAAGGTGTCAAATCAAACGTCGTTTGCAAACTACCGATCGAGCCGGGCGCAAACAGGGGAAACTGCAGATGCGTGCCAACAATCCCGTTCTTACATCCACTTGCCAAACATTTTTACCCATTGGCACTAGGTTAAAAAAAGAGGACATTATTACAGTCAGTACCTCTTCAGAATCGCTCGAAGATGAGGATGAAGATGAAGAAGAAACTGGCTTTCTACTAGCAGTTCTTTCCCTCTCCCTCTGCTCTTGTGGCTTTTGTTTCTTCTGCCAACCTCGTGAACTGCTAGAGGACGCTGTGCCCATACTTCTAGAATAATTGAAGTTTGAAATGATCTGATTAATTCTGGTTACATAGCTTTAATGATTTCTATAAATCTACTCCTGAAAAACTCAATACAAAATATTACTGGAAGTTTAAATTAATACACTTTACTGACACTTCTTGATCTATCTATGTATGGGAGGTGCCACTAGCACTGGGAAGTTTCAATAGCTACATAAAGTAAATCATAAGTTGCATTTTACTTGGTTGCATACTTTTAGAAAGGGATCCCTCCTAATGACCATAATACACCTTTAATTGTGTCACTTACCTAAAACTGTTTCCTTCCCCTGGTTTCTGAAACCTTGAAGCAAGACTGGAGGATTGTTTATCATGAACAGAATCATCACATGGAGGTTTTAAGAGACCTTTTATATTCCTGTAGACAAAAGTATCTCCTATTAGATATGGCTACTATAAGACCAGATATGACATCATAAAAGCAATAGTGTGCATCCCTACCAGATTCTTGCAACATTCATGGCTATGACTTACAACTGGCATCCATGGATATTCAGCAAAATTAAAAACTATGAAAGCTGTGAAGAAAGGGTATACTAATAAAAATCTCGGTAAGAAAAGGGATCCACTCGGTCTAATTTTAAAGCAATACTGATACATACTTTTCAAAATATTGGCCAAAACGTTATAATACCTTATTCCACCTTCTCTTTCTTCTTTGCTATCCTTAGGTCTTCTCATAACTTCCCTATTTCTGCTTCCACTCCTGCTTCTGCTGTCACTTTCACTATCAGTGCTGCTGGAGCTACTGCTGTATATTCTATGTCTACTTTTTTCTTTCTTCCTGTCGTGTTCTCTGCTTCTGCTTCTTCTTTGCCTATCTCTGCTTCTACTTCTGCTATTCCTTCTCTCTCTGCTTCTACTCCTCCTTTGCCTCTCTCGACTTCTGCTCCTCTGATCTCTTCTACTCTTCTCTCTGCTTCGACTCCTCCTTCGGTCACTGTGCCTATCATCCAGTCTGTCTCTTCTCCTTTCTCTGCTCAAACTCCTGTCTCGATTCCATCTTCCCTGTTGCCATGGGTCACCCTGGTGACTCCTCCCTCTCCCTTCTGCTTCTGCTAATAGCTCATGGAATTTGGCAAGGGACTGGAAAGTAGAAGAGATAATTTTCTTTGATTATAAAGATTGCAACACCACATCATTTCTTTAATTCTTTTATAGCACCAACCTCTCCTTTTGTTTCTGAAAAAATTAAACAAAAGAGTGAAATAGGAAATGATGGAAAATAGTGTACATGGATAGAGAGAAGACAGGGGAGAAAAAAAAGTGAAAGCAAAGATGACAAACAAGTATGAAATAAACATGAGCAGTGTGGAAAGAGAAGAAAGATAAACAATAATAATAAGAGAAAAGACTGAGGAAAAAGGAACGGGATGAAAGGAGGGAAAAAAAGGGAAAAAAAAGGGTAGACAGGAGAAGAATTAATAAAGTAGGATTATCAGATTTGACAAAAGGGAAGTCCATGAAATTAAAAGACATCAAAACTTATAAACTGAACCCTTAAGACTTCAACAAAACATACACCCCATCTTTGAGCAGCAACTTCCTCCAAAGATTTGTTTTCCTTCTCAGCTTGCTCCTTTGCACGCTGGAGAGCTCTGCGTAGCCAAGCGCCGTCCAATCCGACTGAAGCGTTTTGCTGCGATTCTTCTTCAGGCAAACCAGTCCCACCATTCTTGAAGTATGGGTTCAGCTCTCTTGCATGTGACCCAGGCTGCAAGATTAGCATAATAAGGGTTTGTTAGAACATTTTTATGTGTATATATGTATATATGTATATAAGTACATATATGCATATATGTATATATATATATATATATATATATATATATATATATATATATATATATATATATATGTATATATGTATATATATATATATATATATATATATATATATATATATTATATATATATATATATATATATATATATATATATATATATATTATGCATATGTGTGTGTATATATATAATATATTATATATATATATATATATAATATATATAAATATATATATATTATATAATATATATAATATAAATATATGTTATATATATATATATGTATGTATATATAAAATATATATGTTATATATATGTATAAGTATAAATATATATATATAGTATATTATAATAGTTATATAGTTATATATATACTATATTATTTATATATGTATTATGATATAGTGTATTAAAAAAAAATATTTATATATTATATATTTACCAGTATTATA